GTCTCAACTTGAAACAATTCCATGTCAAATCCAGCTATGTTCTGAACATTCTGCAGGTAAGACTTATGTGTGTGTAGAGAGGGGTCCCCTATGAGAGTCACAATCGCTCCCCCATGATTGAACGACATCTCATGGTTTTCCCAGTCCATTTCACACTTACCTAATGTCCTTAACCATTGAACTCCAAGTATAATGTCATTATTGCCCAGTTCGAGGACAACAAAGTCGACATTAAACTCATTTGATTGTAATGAGAATGAGATATTTTTACAAACTCATGTTCCCTGAGCCGTGATTCCTGTACCCAGCAGGATTTCTAGACTTCTTCTTCCTTGAGTTTGTATCTTCGCTTTTGAAACCACTGATGGATCAATGAAGTTGTGGGTTGCTCCACTATCAATCATTACCACCACTTTCAGCTTGCCAATATAGCCCCAGAATTTTGTGGTTGTAGGTGAAGATATGTCAAGCAAGGAAAACAAGGATAACTCCATTAACTCGGTTACTCGTCCTGTCTCATCTTCAAACGTATCGACCATTTCTTCCTCTACAATTTCCACTTCATCGTCATTGACCATTGTCAGCACTCTTAGCTGCATATTCTGACATTTATGGGTCTTTGACCATTTCTCTTTACATTTGTAACACAGTCCCAATCTTTTGTATTCTTCGAATTCTGCTGGAGTTAACCGTTTCACCATCTGATTGCTGTTCTGTGTCCTCCATCTTTGGTTCTCCGTATTATCATTCTTTGAACTCGATGAGCTATCATTGTTCTTGTTGTTTTCTTTTGTGATGCTCCTGATTCTGTGAGCTTATCGGTATCCTTTGTGAGTTGAAATACGATGATGATCGTAACGGTATATATGTGGTTCGACGGTTTTGTGTAGGTTGTATAGCTGTTGCCATCGATGCACAAAAAGCACTGTCATCCATTCTAATCACCGTATGAAAATGCTCTGTTAAGGTCTTCGGTTCTTTTAACTTGATCACTTCCTGCATTTCTGGTTTTAGTCCCAAGTAAAACACGTGCATCATATTGTCTTCGTCCACTCCTTTCACAATTGTCGATAACTCCTCAAATTCGTTGACGTAGTCAACTATAGATCCCGTTTGCTTCATACTGAATAACCGTTTTGCTGGATTCTCTTCTAGTTTCACACAAAAACGAGCTATCAATTTGTCTTTGAACTGAGACCAGCTTCGAAATTCCTGTTTCTCATTTTCCCTGTTGAACCAATTCAGCACTGGACCTTGCAGACTGGTCGATATCAAATCCAGTTTCTCAGCATCATTGTATTTACCGAGTCGAAAAAACCTCTCAGCCAACACGATCCAACCATACGGACGACAACCATCAAACACAGGCAATTCAATCTTCTTCAACAGTCCGTTACGATTTTCTAACACATTGCTAATTCCTCGATAACCTAGCGATGAGTTTTCCCGGTCATTTTCGGATTCAGTGAGACTGACCTGATTTGGTGTTTCCGATGTTGTGGCTTGTTGTTTTCCCGCAGCTTTATCTCTGAACTGATTTGCTTCCATTCGAGCTAATGTTTGAGAAATCGAATTGATATTCTTATCAACCGATTCAATTCGTTTCTCGATCTTTGACACTCGCGACGTTATTTCCGAATTCGCCGTCGTCAACAGCTTCCAACCACCGCAGATTACTTCCACCTCTTGATTCAACTCCGTGAATGATTCTTGGAGCTCCGATGTAGCTCGATCGAGATCGCCCGAAACTTGACCGATTTCCACCATTTTCGTTGCAGTGAACGCAGCTCGCCGCACCAATTGTTAAGGAAAATGTAGGTATTTTATTTCACTTAACAACGATTACAAGATTGACGCAGGTCTGAGACTCTCAGATGCCGAATCAATCTAAGAACTCGATTTCCCAGAACAAACTCCAGGAATCGCCAATTTGCAGAGAAAAGAATCTTTAACAACCAAGAACGAAAATACCATTCGATAACCGAAAACAATCAATGCAATACTCTATTTATATTTGATTAATGCGTCGAAAACAATCAATGCAATACTCTATTTATATTTGACTAATGCAAACGCAGCTAGTGTGAACGCTTCCTTGGACTAATTTACGTCAACTGTATTTCCACTCTGGATCTCTTCCTCTTCGTCTCTAACTGATACTCTGTTCGCAAGCTTCTCTTTCTTCCTCTTGTATACTCGCATGGGCTTATCAGTTTGATGCAGTAAATCGACAAATTGCTTAATTATTTTGTTAGTTTTATGTGTACATGAATTCTACAAGTGATCAAATGAATTTTGTAGTGTTAAACTAAGGAATTACCTTTTTACGCATTGGTATCAGATACTGGTTTCCCTCGTAATAGATATCTCACCGGAAGGCGGCGTAGAGTCTCTTCTACTAGATCATCCGGTTTCTCAACAGCAACCGTGGCTTTGCTACAACTAGGGCTTTTTCTATTCCTTTCTTGTTTCTCAAGGAAACTCAAAATTCTGTTTAAAATTGGTAAACGTCGGCCTAAAAACTGCCTTCTCATGGTATTTTCGAGATTCAACGTCCACTTCAAGTCCACAGTTTCGCCATTGACAAAGCCATGCAAGAAAAAAGACAAATTCTTTTGGTAGGGTTTAAAGAGAAGAAGAAGCACAAATTTTGAAAAGTTCACAACTCGAACAGAGAACTACAAAGAGACAATAACGGAAGAATAACCGATATTCTCAAAAGAAAAAAAATAAGAAAACAAATCGATAATTCTCACTCCCTTTTGTTTAGAAATCAAAACTAGGGAAACTAACGAGAGAATATAAGATACAAATCGATAATTCTCAACATCTAAAACATGTTACATCATTTCTATGAATGAGAAAACATGATTTCCAATACGAATACTACTACATGCAAGAAAATCCGCTATTATACACATAATGAAATAAGACTTTAACGTCTCCCGCTTACGCTATGAGGAATAAGCTTTTGTTGCCAGTAATGTATCAACCTTGTGGTAGTAGCGGCCTTTAAAATCATATTCTAGGAAGGACTTGGGACTTTTGTTGGATATGAGAGCATTTTCATTTTTCAAACTCGAAAATTGTTTAGGAACCAAGTCCACCACCAGAAAAAAAAAATGGGATGCTTTATTCGTCCATTGTCCTCCAAAGTACTTTGCCTGAACCTGTTAAATCTTCTATAGATAATTGAATCTTTATGACCTTGAGATGTATATGTAAAGTGAATGGAAAGTTTTGATGCTGTAAATTGTTATTATTTTATACGCTTCATCTGTGCTCTATGAATCCTACAAGTGATCAAATGAACTTTTTACTGATAAAGTTATTATATATACGTCTACGGTCTATCTATAGTAAAAACTGCTATGATTATAGACTTTATAGTCACTAGGTTTCGTTGACCAATTTGTTTTTCATTTTTTGTTGTTGCAATCATTATGATCTAGGAACACAATGCGAAGAATTGTCCACCGCAAGCGTTATGCTTATTAGTTTGCTATTAAATTAAATCAGATACGAGAAATTTAACCTGCACATTGTATGTGATATGTTTTTTAAATTATCTTTAAATTTATTTTTTTCATAAATAAATAAAATTGGTGATAATTAGATAACAATACATATATAAATATATCATTGAATATTACTTTGAGCTAGTTTTGTGATGTGGTTTAATTATTAGTAGTTTTTAAATATGAAAATATTATGATGTTAATATATATATATATACTTATATACATACTAACATGGATTATAATTTAAATATATAAATCTATAAAATAAGAATTTAATTGTGAATATTTTATTAAAGATCAAACTTTTATTTTTTAGTTAATGAATTATATAATATGTGTTAACAATGATTATATATAGGATTGTCAAAGTGGTCAAACCCATTTATTTAATAAATTTTGCAATTTACTAAATATTTTTTCAGCCAACCCGTAAAAAATACGATTTAAATTTGAAAAAATATTCAGTTTTTTTATACAAAAATAATAGTTTATTTATGTAATATTTTATAAATAAATATTTATTTATGTAAAATTTTATAATAGTTTATTTATGTAATATTTTATAAATAAATATTTATTTATGTAAAATATTCTATAATATCTTACAAATAAAGGTTTATTTATGTAAATGTCTACTTAAATAATAATATAGAGATTATTATTGGTTAAACTGAAAATAAAATAATTTTTAATTTTATTATTCGTGTTGTTATTTACATCGAAAAATATAACGAGGATGAAACAGAAAATGATGATAAAACTTGATTTTTAAAATAGTAATATTGATGCATAATATTTTATCTTTGTGTTATTACTATGTTAACAGGGACATTCAATTGACACTTGACAGGGACATTAGAGCTCTCATTAACTCTATGCACCAAGACCAAGGGGTACCAGAGCAGAATGCAGACCTCCTGAACCGATGGTGTAGTCATCCCATGATAGTCGACCTCTTGTGATGTAAATTTTACTTGCCGGCTCTGTTTTATCAGTGCCAAAGTTTTATTTGTTTTGCTTTAAGCCCTGTTGCATCTGCACAAAACAGTCCTAAGTAAATATAATTACTTAGACCTTGAAATCTTAGTAACAGCAACACAACGGTCACATAAAACAATAACTTTAACCTAGAAGAAATGAATCAAAAAATATTAGTTTTTCTTTAAACAAGGCATCATTGGTCTAGAATCAGATGGAGCCTCACTTCCCATCCATAACTCTCTTATCTCCATTACCTGAAACGAATGCGAAGACGCAAATACTTTAATGAATCCAGATCTTGAAACAATTCATTTCATTTACTTTATAGAGAAGCTCTAAATGTAAGTGAGAGAGAGAGAGAGAGAGAGAGAGAGAGAGAGAGAGAGAGAGAGAGAGAGAGAGAGAGAGAGAGAGAGAGAGAGAGAGAGAGAGAGAGAGAGAGAGAGAGAAGTGGCTGACAATGTCCTAGCAGAGATAGTAGTCTTTCTCTGACTCTGTCTAGTAGCGATATGTCTTTGAAGATAACGACTGGTACGGAGAAACCAAGGACTGTGAAAACCAAGCTGATCACAACCATAATGGAGGAAGGACAGCATCAAAAGGAGCGAATTTAGTTCTCTCCCACCTCTCAGTAACCTCTTCCTGCACAAGAACCCACACGTCCGGATCCAAACTTCGTCTATAATCACAGACACAGAGACAGTACAAACCATTAAAAATCCAGCAACTCGAGGAAGTACTTCTGATTCTGATTCTCTGTTGTTTGGTCCTAACGCACAGTGTTTTGAGAAATACTTTATAAGGAAGCCACTCTAGCTGGGGACTCCTCAAAAGTGATTTTCAGCTCTTCGGCTCCATACTTTTTTCAGACGGAGACAGAGATGTTTCTCTGCTAGATTGCCGGAGTCGATCAAAGACTTCCACTTTTCGATACTGATTTAAATCTTAACAGATATCTCAGCGGATTAGGAAACCGGTGAAGAATCTCTTCTACTATATCATCCGTTATGATCTCAACAGCAAGCGCGGTTTTGCTACAACTAAAGCTTGTTCCATTCTTTTCTTGTTTCTCATGGAAACTCAAAACTCTGTTTAGTATTGCTAAACAACGGTCTAAAATCTGCCTCTTGGTATTTTGGAGCTTCGACGTCCACTTCAGGTCCACTAGTTTCGCCATTGACAAAGCCATGTTGGGCAAAGAACAAAAAAAAAACAACTTTCTTTTGGTAAGGGTTTAAAGAGAAGATGAAGCACAAATTTTTCAAACTTTTGATAAAGTTCACAACTCGAAAAGAAATTAGAAAGAGACAAAGACAATAGAGAGATCACGGAAGAACAACTATAATTCTCAACCAAAAAAAAAAAAAATGGATATTCTCACCTCCATTTGCTTAGAAGTCAAAATTAGGGAAATGAACTAGAGTTTAAGAAGAAAAGTAAATTTACCCGTTTAATTAATGGAAAGTTTTCCCATTTCATTCTATTTTTTTTTTAATTGTGCAGGAATTTTCATCATCAGAAGAGCCATCTTCAAAAAGATAGTCTATATATAATACTACAGTAGATAAATTTATAAGCATGTTTTTTATTTATCGTAAAAAAGGTTATATTTTCAAGAGCAACTTGTACATAGATATTTCGGCGACATCCAAATATTTTATTAAAAATGTTAGTTTTTAATAACCAAATAACATATAAAACAATTCCTATGATGATACTATGATACTGTCAAATTCAGATTCGGTCAATGAGATATATTCGTCAAAAAAATTTGAAGCATTAGTTTGTTTGTTGCTTTATGAAATCTATATGTTATTCAATCTATCTTTGGGTATACAAAGTGATTCAATTACCAACCATGATGAGAACGGCGGTTGGATAAAATCTGAAAAAATGGTCTAAACCTCATAATCCCAACCGGTATAATTAGGTATATGATGTCATATAGTTCTACAGCTAAAGTCTAAGAAATGCAGGTTTTGAAGAAACTGTATGAGGGAACACGTGGTGACTGGAAATGAAATGGTGAACCTTGAGTTGATTCAGCTAGCATATTCATTCACTGGTTCAAAAATTAAAAAAAAAAAATAATGAATCAATGCAGCAATTTTTTTCCTCCTTAGGATCTTTAATTAATAGTAGTAGCATGACAATGGTCAATACACCATCACAAATTCCACACATCATCACAAATTCCAGACATATCATCACTCATTTCATAGAGTTTCATCACACTTAACACATGTAAATAAATATTTAAATAAAATGCTATTGCAAAACCATTCCATCTTTCATGTTCTTCAAATTATATGCTATAACTCAACATTTTTTCATGGATCAAGATATAGTTTGTTTGATGCAAACAATCATTATATTTTGATATAAAAATGTTTTTTAAGTGACAAATGTGACTACATTGAAAGTAAGAATAACATAATCTACTATAATATTCCATGAACTTTCTATTTAATTGTCATTTGTACATTCTTCGTGCACTATGTTTCCTTCATCTAGTTCTTTCATTAGTAATACTAGTGACAATCTCACGGCTAATTGGTTGCGCATTACATGTATGATTAGAGACCATTTCCATCACTTATAGATTGTTATTTTGGTTTAATGTAATAATGACAATGAAAATTTATGAAAATTTACAGGCACACAAAGACGTCTCTTGTCGTTTCTTATCAACAATCTTTCAGTCCGGTGGGGGTGACATACGGGTGCCGTCAACATATGTGGAGCAATTCCGAAAAATAAAAGTTTATGGAGCAACATATGTTTATTATTTTTTTTTCTGTTGAGAACACAACAAAGTTCAGATTCGGTAAGCATATCTCTTGTTTTTATAGTATTGGTGTTAGCAACAGCTAAAATACGACCTTATTTTTGGAGTGAAGGAAGACACCAAAGCCATGAAAGCTGGTCGAAAGCTGGTCGAAAGTGGCACAATGATCTTAATAAACCAGTAACATATTTAAGGATCTATCTCAATTTTTATATGAGTCTATGTTTTATACAAGTCTATGTCATTTCATTAATCATTTGTTTATGTTATTTTCAGATTAACATAAACAATCTCCAAATATGTCATTATAGTCAAATATGTATGATTAATTCGCTGAAATTGATTCTAAATCATTTTGCTATATTCACATATTGTTTGTTATGCTAAAAAGGTTGCTACAAGATATGCAGAGAAGATTTTTGGATCAATAGATTCTGAGATACCGTCAGCAAAGTCTCTATAATGCAAAAGACTTCAGTAAAATTCCCACAAATTATCCGATAACTGATGATGTGAGTTCCTTTTACAGATTCTATCTTTTTTCTTTGTGATGTATTGACCATAATTCTCAACCAAAAAAAATGGATATTCTCACTAGATTTTAAGAAGAAAAGTTATTTTACCCGTTTAACTAATGGAAAATCTTCCCATTTGATTCGATTTATTATCTTCTATTTGGAGATTCATCATTATTACGTGAGTTCATTAATTTTGTAGTGTCATTCAATGATTCAAGTATTTATTTTTCAGTATTCAATGGGGAAAGTTTCTTATTCACGGATTATCGTTTCCATTATTAATTCTGTGGTTTTGATATTTAACGAACATAGTGTGAATTTCTTGTTTTTACTGTTGAGATTTGGTCTAATCTTATTGCATTTCTTGACGTTGACCGGATTCTGGTTATGTGGACTCAGGGCATCGGTTATCTCAATTAGTCCTGGTTAATGGCTGATTGATTTAGTTGGTGTATTTCTGGTTTAGTCCGGTTATTTGTAAGGCCCTAGTATATAAAGGGTCAATAACCATGAGTCTTGGTCAATGCTCATCTTGTTTTTTGTTCATCGGAGCTTCTCGGAGAGAGAGCTAGATTCCTTCGTGATTAGTGGATTTGCCGGACTGAGTCTGGCCTCAGAGACGTAGCCTACCATATCGGTGGTGAACTCTGGGTAATCAAAACCTGTGTGCTCTGTTCTTACTCTTGTTCGTTTCTTTACTTGCGCGATTCAGTATTCATTGAGTGTTCAGAGAGATTGAGAGATCTTGTGAGGTTCGTGAGTCAATCGCTTGTGAATCAAATCATTGAGCTGAGGAATCTTGGTGCTTAATCGCATCAATTGGTATCAGAGCTCGATTCTTCGCTCCCATGGCGACAACTATGACTCGAACCGAGGTAGTGTGCTTCGATGGCACCGGAGACTTCTCGATGTGGACTACGAGGATGATGACGCACTTTGGCGTTGCCGGATTAAAGGAGGTGATTCTCAGTGATGATTTCCAGATCACTGTACCTCTAACAAAGCGGAGCTGAAGGAGATTGAAACTTCTGGATCGTCACCGGATCAAGAAACAAAGGTGATTTCAGATCCAGCGAAATTGGAGAAAGATGAACGAGCAAAAGATATGATCCTCGTCAATATCAGCGATCAGGTTCTTCGAAAAATAAAGCACTGTACTACTGCTGCTTCCATGTGGTCTTTGTTAGGGAAACTATACATGTCCAAGTCCTTGCCGAATAGGATCTTCATACAATCGCAGTTCTATACATCTAGGTGTGACGGATCTAAACAGATAGACGCGAATGTTGACGAATTTCTTAAGATTGTTGCTGAGATGAATAGTTTGGATGTTAATGTCACGGATGAGATCCAGGCTATTGTCTTCTTGAATTCGCTTCCGCCAGTCTATGATCAACTTCAACATACATTGAAATATGGAAAAGACTCGATCTCTTTAGAAGAAGTAATCTCAGCTGCAAGATCCAAGCAAAGGGAACTCTCAGAGAGTGGTAAAGCATCTGCCGAATCAACTACAGCTCTCTATACGAATGACCGTGGAAGACAACAGAAGAGGGAATCAGGGGATTCTCGAGGAAATAGGAACAGAAGCAAGTCCAAGAATGGCCGGAAAGTTACTTGCTGGTATTGCAAGAAGGAAAGACATTTAAAGAAGGACTGCTTTGCAAGGAAAAAGAGAATGGAGGCGGACAACGATGGCGAAGCTGCAGTAGCAATCGATGAGGCAGATGGAATGGATATGTTGAATGCTGCGGTTGATGACTCAAGGGAAAACTGGGTCATAGAATCTGGATGTACACATCACATGACTTCAAGGCGTGATTGGTTTGTGGATTTTGAAGAAACAGGATCAAACCGGATTCTTCTCGGAGACTTCCACACGGTTCAGGCTCAAGGCACCGAAGTTATAAGGATCGATAAAAAAGGAGGAACTGTGAAGCTAATGAAGAATGTTAGATATGTTCCGAACCTGAGGAGAAATCTTATCTCCACAAGCATTTTGGATCAACTTGGCTTCACACACTCGGGGGGAAATGGAAGGATCAGTGTCTACAAGAACAACAAGCTTGCCCTGAGTGGAACCTTGAAGAATGGCCTCTACATCCTTGACGGTAACACGCTTACAGATGAACTGTGTCAGGTCGAGGGATCGAGCTCTTCAGGATCTTTGTGGCACAGTCGTCTGGGCCACATGAGTTACAAGAATATCCAAGTTCTGGTTCAAGATGGTATCTTGAAGAGGAAGGAGGTAGGGAATGATGAGTTCTGTGAACATTGCATCATGGGAAAATCCAAGAGAGTAAGTTTTGACACTGGCAAGCATGATTCCAAGTTTGTGCTTGACTACGTACATGCAGATCTCTGGGGGTCCCCAAATGTGCAATCATCCCTCTCAGGTAGTAAATATTTTTTGTCGATCATAGACGACTGTTCTCGAAAGGTTTGGGTCTGTTTTCTGAAGTCTAAGGATGAAACGTTTACTAAGTTCTGTGATTGGAAAACTTTAGTTGAAAACCAGGTTGATAGAAAGGTTAAGTGCTTACGCACTGATAATGGTTTAGAATTTTGTAATAATGCCTTTGACGAGTTTTGCAGGAAACAGGGCATTGAAAGACATCGAACATGTGCATACACCCCACAACAGAATGGGGTGGCTGAACGCATGAATCGAACTATAATGGAGAAGGTCCGATGCTTACTAAATGAGTCGGGCTTAGAAGAACGTTTCTGGGCTGAAGCTGCAGCCACCTCAGTGTACATCATCAACCGATCACCAACCGCATCTCTAAACCTTAAAACTCCGGAAGATGTATGGCTCGGTAAGAAACCCGGTTATAAGCATATGAGAAAATTTGGTTCTGTTGCCTATGTTTATACAGATCA